TTGATTATTAGGATTTCCTTTAATTGTTAGTTAAATTATGAGAGCAGGCGTCATCTGATTAACATGAGAACTCAATTCCAGTGAATGGTTAACCTTGATTATGTCAATTCACTGATTCACATGATTAACAATGATGATCAAAACTACTAAATCACTTGATACAATCACCTTAATTGTTGCACCTTAATCATACAAAATTAGTAAAGTAAATCCTTCCGGGTTTTAATTGATAACAGATTGTTATCCAACTAAGACTAATCAACTGTTACAATTTAAATGTAATCTCTTAACCAATGAATAAAGTTGATTATGAATCTAATTAAATTAACTTTAAATGAGTTTCTATTAATAATAATTGGAAACACTTAACAAAAAATTTAGACGGAAGTTGTTGATTCTAATAATTGTTATCACCACTTTGATTAGTAAATCATTGATTAACTTTGGTTAAAGTTAATTGTTGTGTGAGTCTTTACAACCTAATGGATTGTAAAAAGTGAAAAAATAAAGAAAGTGATTAGTTAATTGTTGTGTTACAATGTCAATTGTGTCTTCTTAATTTACCATTAGTGTTACCGGAGTTTTTTTGCTTCTTGATGTTTTTTGTAGGTCAAGTAATTGTGATGCAACATGATTATAATTATCTATTAATATTATCATTATAATCACTAATTGTTATTGTATAATCATCACAATCCACTTGGAGCGTTATGATAATCAAATTAACAAATTAACTCGAAATTGTTTATTGTTGATTTTCCTTCAAATTGTTAATCACTCACAACATTTTATCCTTCTCATGAATCTTAAATCATTTGGAAACAATTTCAATCCAATGAGTTATCAAGTTAATTGTGCACAATTAAAATTCACTTTTTTCCAGCCGATTGTTAAACTAATTGTTGTTTATTAATTTTCTTAATTGCAGACAAGCTAATTCACCTTGTTCATCGTCGATTTCCTTCCTTTGATTCAAAAGTCGATGTAAACAAAAGTTCATCAAGAAAAACTTCTTTCCCTCGATCCGGATGGACAAAGTACTTCGAGTGAAAACTTTTTCGTGCCATCATGTTGTGTCTGTGAGATTGTTAATCAATCAACAAGATGAACTTTTCTAATTACAATTAACTTAAATTCTCTCCTCTTTTTAATTCACTATTTTCACTTTTTTCTTGCTTTGTTTGTTTGTTTGTTTCTATTTCCATTCCACCACCGTGATCATCATCATCATCTTCATCATTATCAAGTGTCATCTCCATTCATTGGATTTATAATTTACCTTTCATTCATTAATCTTACTAATTGTTGATTGTTTTCCATCAGGCTGATTGTGTGTGTTTAAATTGTTCCCGATTGTACAAAATTTAGATTATAAATATTGGAATCAAACAATCAACCATATCAAATGTCAGTAGTAGTTGTATCAGGTAACATTAATCAATTCAACTTTACTTTTAATTAACCATTAAGATTGTTACGGTTACTTGATATCTATTGAAATTAGAACTTTTTTTTTCACTCATTCGAAGAGATAAAACAAAAGTTCGAGGCTCAGGAAGTACAGTTAATAATCAAGTCTCTCATTGTGAACAAGACTCAAGACTTAAATCTATCAATTAACTAATCATTTAGTAAAAAAAGTACTTCAATAATTTCAAAATATTAATAATTCATCTTTAAATTGAACATAAAGCAAAAGTTTCGAAAAGAAAAAGAAAAGTTCTAAAAATATTTCCATTCGATATTCGATATGTTCAGATTTTCATGCGAACAATTTATTCAACTTTAATTAGCCCAAAACTAGAAAACATAAATTAATATCAGTTGCAAGTCTAATTTCAAAGTGTCAACAATTAGTTAATCAATCAACAATAATTTGATTAGAAAAAAAAAAATCATTCAATCATTTGAAATGAAATTTTTCTTAAACTTATCTTTTCCTTAATGAAAAATTATTTAATTAAAGATCATCATTTTCATGTATTAAATCAATTACCTCTTATATAATAATCAATAAAAACTAATTAGCATTGAAAAGTTAAATTGTTTCAACTTAATTTCAATCTCAATGACAATTAATTAATCAACATCAGTTGGTAGCGCCATCTATTGACTGAGAAAACAACTAAAACAAATTAAATTTTTCCAACAATTAAAACTAATCAAACATTTGATTTAATTAAGAGAATTTTTTTTTCCAACAATTTAAAAAGGATAACAAGTGTTGAAAGAATAATTTTAATGAATAAAATGTTAACGAATCTTAAGAATTGTGGTGATAATGAACTGAATTGGAATATGAAAAAAAAAGGTAAACTCTTAATGGGAAAAAAAGGTAACAAGGAATAAAAATTATTCTCATGGTGGAAATTAATGGAAAGAAGGTGTAATAGCCTTGGAAGATAAAGAAGATAAGAGGATCATGATGATGATGAAGATGAGGATGAGGATGGGGATGAGGAAGATGATGTTCTAAGGAGATGAGATTGCGCTCACATTATTATCTCTCATTGATTGTTAACAGTTTAGTTGATTCAGTTTTCCATTTTCATCAACATCAGAATCACAACTTATCTGAAAATATAAAGAAAAATAAAAGTTTCCTCTTAATTGTTTCATCGAGTGATTTTAATTACCACCGACAGATTAATAAGTTTTAATTGTGTTCCATTTTGTTGTTGATTAATTGATTCGATCAACGTTCTAACTGAACATTAAATTGTAACATTTTCGACTCAACTTTTTTTTTTCTTGTGATTTTCACAATTAAAACAATTTCTTAACCAATATCATGTTTAACCATTGAAATTAAGCCTTCTAATTATGATTGTTAATTCAATTGTAAGGTTAATTGTTTCACTTTCAACGTTATTACTTTCCAATGTTCATTTATCAACAACAATTGGACCTAAAATCCCAATCGGTAAGTTTAATTGTGATCATTTTGCAATCAAATCAAATTGAATTGATTTTTGTTTTCTCAATCAAATTAACCCTTACAGATAAAAGTTTCATCTAATTAGCCAGAAGTGATTAATTATAAACACCATCCTAATAAGATTAACACTTAATTAACAAGTGTAATAATCAAGCCTAATTAATAAATGGAAGGAGCAAAAAAAACTAATGATTGTTGAGAAAATAATTAAACCAGATTATGATTAAAAGTTTTACTAATTAAAAGTGTCAAAATTACAGATTAAAGTTAATCAATGATTGATTAAAAAGTTAGATCAAATCAGAACTTTAAACTCATGGGAATTCAGGGTAACAATGATAATGAAAGTTTCTCATCGGAAGTTACTATGATTGGAATATGAAACTATCCGGAAATAGTTTTTTTTTGTCATGAAAAAAAATGAATGATAATTAACTTGATTTAGAAAAGACGATCAAGTTGATTGGGAGAAAAACAATTGAACTTTAAATCCACAGGTTGGAAGTTTTGATTAACTTTTGATTCCAATGAACTTTTTTGCATTCATTCAGGGGGAATTTTCACTCCAGAATCAAATGAACTTCAGAGTGCATTCAAATACGCGATATTTTTGCATAACAAGAATGAATCATCTCGATTTCAAATCGAACCGATAACCGATGTGATCGATACCAATGATCCATTTAGATTTACCCGTCAAAGTAAGTTGATTGTTGATCTTTTCTAATTAAAATCAATCATGTGTCTATTTGGATCCTTTCAGTTGATGATTGAAATGAAGATAAAATAAATAATTCATTTACTATCATGGTAATCATGATGATCCAACTGTTCAGTATATCAAAAGCATTACGATTATTATTATTAACACCATTCAAAGGGTGACTGAGGATAAGGTGGGTTAGTGAATCAACAAAAGATTCTGAATGAATTTCTGGTGGTGATTGCAGGGATATTATTCATACTGAACTTGGAATTGGAGTGAATTTTTATATAATATCTTTTTTTTTCATTTACTATGTTTTTCAATTTACATTTTCACTCCTTGGGAATTGGGTGGAAACAGGTTGATGTGTAGGCGTTGATGAGGATGAAGATGAGGATGATTAGAGTTGATTGCTTTGTAAAGATGAGGATGAGGATGAGAATCATTTAAATCTTTTGCTTCCCTATTAACTGATGGTTACAACTTAATCAACATTCATTTAGGAATATAAATCCAGGGAGAAACTTTTGCAATTCAAATTTTTTTTTCACCTTCCATGTAATTCATATATTACATGGGAAGGATATAATTCCCATGAATAAATACCCTGAATAGCCTGGTGATATTATCTTTACATTCACAGATTGTTCATCGTGAATATTAAATCCAATCAACTTTATCTTTTCAATTTCATTTTCAGGGTAAATTCACCCAAAATTAACAACTTTTTTCAGCTCTTTCTCCCTGTTTATCATTAGTAGTATTCATATTTATCAAAATTCAACCAAAATCAACATGATTGTCATGATAATCAACGTGAATAAGTTTCATTTGCTTCTAATTGATTTTCACCGTAATTTTGATCGATGATTCTTGGTAAAGAGACGATCTAATTAATGATTACCTGATTAACCATTGAATTGATTGTTCATCAGATGATCAGAGAAGTTAATTAATGATAGTATTGGTTATGAAGCAATCGATTGTTGATTTCTGCTGAATCCTCAGAATTTCATGACTTACATTTGAATGATTTTCTTTCAGGTCATTCGGTTGTTTTTCAATTTCAAAACAATATTACTTTAAATACGATTCTCAAGTTTTTCATTATCATTGTTGAGAAGAAAAAAAAGTCAAACGCCCTCAGGCAATTGAACAGAGGGAAAAAATAATGACTTCTTGTTGATTCTCAACTTCAATGAACCATTTTCAATTTCAACTGATTCAGCTGAATGAGAGATAAACAGAGATAGAGAAAAAAATTCAGAACTTTCTTCTTCCCCTTATCTCCATTTACAGGGAATCATGATGATGATGATACATGAGCTTTGATGAATGAAACTGAATCTAGACTATTATCATTATCATGGTTTACTTGATGATAATTCACTTGAACTTTTTAATATTAACCAAAGTATCATGACGATAATAATCATCATCATCATGTAGATACTTTAAATTATCATTGAGTCGAGAAAAATGAATCTTCATTTTTTTTTAAATGAACTTTATTCAAAGTTCATTAAGAATCAATGCAAATTCATTTTATCAGGGAAAAAGTTTTCTTCCAATCAAAATGTTACCAATTTTGCCCTCGATCTTTGGATTTGATTTAGTAATTGTTGGATTGTTACTTTTGTTTTATTTAATTGCTCTTAATCGGGACATGATAAGTTCACCATGATCATGAGGGTTTAATCTTGAAATTTCATCATGATAATATGAACAGGTAACTAATTCATGATAATAGGAGAGAAAAAGTTTTTTCAATTGTTTCCCAATGTTAATAATGTTATTTACTATTAGTTAAAGTCACGCAATCAACAAATTGCACTTTTGTGATTTGATTTTCTATTATTGTAACGATTATCATCATGAATCCGTATCCTGAATCTTTAACTGAGTTCATGATAATATTCATTCATTTTAGTTCCGGTTGTCTGAATAACACTAACAACTAAATTCTGAGCATCTAATTCAATTCCCAGTAGATTATTGGAAACATTGAAACAATTTACAGTTTTCCCCCCTGAGGGTTGATGATTAATTTTAAATTATCCAAGAAATTATCATCAAGAGTCTCAAAAGGTTCAATATATATAAATGAATATTATTCTGATTCAATTTAATCGTAACCAAGAGTAATTCAGCTGAAAGGAAAACGAAAAGTTGAGAAAAAAAAAGTTCAGCAACAATTCTGAAGATAATTAAGATTCATTGAAATTCATTGAAAAGATTCAAGATAAGGTATTGTTCATGGAGATAAACTTGAGTGAAACAAGATGAAGGAAGATAAATCTGAGAAGATAAAGAATTCTAATCTTCTTCTCAATCTTCATCTCTTTATCTTCATCAAGTTGAACTTTTTCTCTCTCCTGGAAACAGAATTAACAAGAGTAAAAAATGAGAGAAATAAAAAGATAACAAGATATACACTTTTCTATTTTCTCTCTCAATCTTATCACCATCATCATCTTCATCTTCATCTTCAAATGATAAAGATGAACATTGGAAGGTGAAAATTGAGTTAGATGATGAACTTTTTACCTTTGACCATAGAGAATGTTAATTTTTCTGAATAAACAACATCATCTATTGTGTTCCCATGCTAAGAAATTTAATTTACCGTTATCATCACAACTTTCATTTAATCTTCATCAGCATCATGATCATCATGATCATCATTTTCTTTGTTCAATATAATCCATTGTTATTCAAAGTTGTGAGTAATAATAAAACACCAAGAATGTCATGGAGGTGAAAAAAATTCACCCTCAGGTTATTTCTATGCTAATGGAATGATAAAAAAAACTAATAATAAATGAATTCTGATGATCACCTTTCATGATAAAAGTGATGAAACATCATTCTGAAATGTCGTTAATTAACCGAGGAAATTGTTGCCAACTAATTGGCCTCTTAAACTATTGTCTTTTCAATCAACAATTAAGACACACAAAAGTTGACATGAACTTTAATTGTTATCCATGAATATAAATAAGCTCATTTCTAGATTATTTCCCTGTTAATTATAATTCTGATCATCTTAATTTTCAGCTACAATTGAAAGGAATTAATAAATTGTCTAAGAAATTCATCATCAGTTTAATTATTAACATTTAATTGTTGATTTAGTTGTGAAATCCAATTGAGATAATTGTTGATTTCCAATGAATTCTTTGTTCAATTCATCCTTCCGGATCAAATTAGATACATGATGTTTTTTTTACTCTTTTTTTTCTCAATAAAATTTTCATGATGGAACTTTTTTTCCTTACCTGATATTCAGTGTGCCTACAATTGTCTCGAGGTATTTTCACCCTTGTCACACCCATAATTGGACCATCATATGAAACACTCGTCTCATATTCAAATACCTTCCAGGTAAGTTTAATTAACTCTCTTCTTTTTCAATCAGCCTCAATAATCAATATTCAGCCTAATGAATTCACCTGAAAGTTTCATGATAACATTTCCATATGAAGAAAAGGATCCAATCAGAAAAGTCTAATACTCATGGAAATCTGAAATTGAAGGTGCTTCCTTTGCATAGATAGTTTTTCCTCCATCGCCTGATCCCTCATCTATTTGCCTTCAGGGTGAATTCATGATGATGATAAAAATAATGATGACAAGGATTCTGATGTTTCCTCTTTTTTTTTATATCTCTGATTTCATCTTGTCTCATTTAGACATAGAGGGAAAATTTTACCTATTCAGAGTGTGACATTTTGCTTGATTCACTCTTGGAAAACATTGATGACAGGATGAAGAGATGAAAGAAAAAAGAAAAGTTCTGAACAGCAACATGATAAATTCTGAATAGAAAAGGTCTGAAAAAAGTTGATGTAAAAGTGATAAAAGATTATCATTAGATGAATCAACTGTGAATGAGAATCGGGCTTAAAATTATTTGCTCAAACTTCATGGGAAAACTGAGTCAACTTTTTTTTTCCATTCAATTTGAACCAAGGGAAAAAACTTTTTCCACTCCAACTTTCCACCCTCAGGCAGAGTTGTTAAAGTTATTTACCAATATCAATGTTGCTATTGTTATACTAATACAAAATGATAACATGTTTGTTTATCATGAGATTTACTATCATGTCCACTCTTTGTCCAGAACTTTATCTAATCTGTTTGTAAGTTCATGGGGTTAATCATTTGTCTGGTTATTTACATTAGAAGGAGGAAATTAGTTCCAAATGAATTTCAACATGAAAATGGAATTTTTTTCTTCTCTTTTTTCGTTCTTTTCGAATTTCAGAAAAGTTCATCATATTGAGTTTGAGTGAAATATGAATTTTCTGATTACGTTGAAGGAAGTGCAAGTGTTTCTCAACTTCCGATCTATTAAATGATGAGAAATCACAATTGAATCTACAACCAGAACTACCATGAAATTCAAAGAAAATACGAAATTCTCTTACTTATATCAAGGTGAGATTAGATTATTTCTGAGTTTCGAATGAATTTTTTTCTTTCTTTCTCTTTTTCACTATTCCATTCTCATGGTAAAATTATTTTCTTATTGTCTTGGTGAAAAGTTCATCTTAAACTTATGAATTTCAAAATGAATTTTTATCATGATAGTTCATTGAATAGAGTTTATCAAGTTTTATCATGAGAAAATTTGAAAATTTTTTCATCGGTAATATTGAAATTCAAGAGTTTTAGTCTTCTCAATAAAACATGATGACTTTTGAAAAATTAGTGACATTTTTTTGCTCTGAGATTCATGATAATAAACATGATACTTGGATCAGTAAAGAGGTCACAGGTTATGAAACTAAGATAGACAAAAGTAATGCGAAAAAATCAGATCTAAAAGCTAACAATGTTCAGGGAATGGAAAGTTAATGCCATGGAAATCATGAAATTACACCAACATTAGAAGTGGAATAAAATTTTCACCAATCAGTTTAATCAATCATCCTAATGATTATCAGTTTCAATGATAATTACAATCAATCAAAAGTTGATTTCAATGAGTTGGTAATAGTTTTTTTTTCATCTTCTTGTTTGGTTACATGAAAATGTTACAAAAGATGAAAATTTGATCGATTTCATGAGAGGTTCAGAAATTTCTTACCTATTTTACCTTGAAGATGAACGATAATCATAATGATCCATCTTCAGGGAGGAAGAAAGTAAAATCAGATTAACAGATTATCCATCATGGTTATAATCAGATTTATGATAAGAAATTATTTTCTATTCTCATTCTCAGATGCCTTTTATTCATCCCGGTTACCCGGAAACAAACAGTTACAATTATCCCAATTTCGGACTCAACATCCGACCGGATTACATCAAGGCCATTGCCGAAGTGGTTAAACTGTACACATGGAAAAATATAATCTACATTTACGATTCGGACGAAGGTAAGAAAATCGAAAAGTTCTGAAAATAATTGACAAGAAGAAACTTTTGTTAAACTTTTCCTTTCCTCCTTCAATTGTTATTCATAAATAAGCAACAAAATCTACTCGAACTTGGCCTAGAACTTTATATATAAATTTGATATTCCAAGTTTGTCTTTGAAAATTTCACGAAAATAACAACAACAATAATAATGATAATTCTCAACTGAATTAATGGAATCGAGAAGAAGAAAACTTTTCACTTACATGATGGAAACTTTTCGCAAATTGTGAACTGAATTTGATCAATTGTTCGTCATTCGATTATCGGTCAGAAGTTTATTAAAATTTAATCATGATGGAGAAAAGAATCTGGTAAATGATTAGATTATCATGAAGAAAAGAGTAACTGGAAACATGAATATTAACCGATACAGAAAAGAAAGTAAAAAGTTGAGTAAACAATTTCAATCGGATCATTAAGTAAACACTAAACCATTATCATGAAATTCAGAGCCTAATGTTTCAATCATTATTCAAAGTGATTACATTTTGAAACATTATCATGTGTTCACAGCAAATCAACACCAACACCCACAAGATAACACTCACTATGATTTTAAATCAGTTGAAATGAATGTGAAAAAAAAATCGTATTTATTGTTACCTTATTGAATTATTATCATGACAATCATGGGAATAGGAATACAATTGAATAACATGACAATTTATATAAATGATAATAATGGAAGGTGAAACTTTCCAATGGTCAATTGTATGGGAGAAAAAAAGTTCTGACCAGATTTCATTCAGTTCTCAGTCAAGAACTTTTTCTTTGCTCAACATTGGGAAGAAAAAAAGAAAACACTCTTTTTTTCATATCATTGAATCAGAATCATTTCCTTTTCCTGTCTAAATCAAATATCCTTTAGATTTACCTGAAGATTCAATGGAGATAAAAGATTCAATTCTATCCACTTATCATTCATCTGATACTCATTCACAATTGAATATCCACCTACACCCAATTCTCAATCCTCGAATTCAATGACATTTACCTTTGGTGGACTCAAACTGAGCTTAATGAATGAAAGGGAATAAGAAAAAAAAAGTCTCCATGCTGAGGACTTAAAGAGTATCAAGATAATGATGAAGAAAATGTTCCACCATGAATGTTGGAGGGAAAAGAAGGAAATTCGAACAAAAAAAACGATTCTTCTTTCGTTCTATTTGCAGAATTTTTCTCCAGTTAATCAATTCTGAGAATCCAAAGGTTGATGACAATTGAAAATTCATTCGTGACTTTAGAATCATCATCAAGAAACATTTCATATTCTTTTATCATCACTATTATATCATCATGTAAGTTGTGAGTATTCGTACACATAAATGAAGAATGGAAGAGAATAAAAAAGTTCTAATGTTAATTTCTTATTGATTGTTATCAAAGTTCAATAACAATTTATCATTAGAAAATTTTTTCACTTCTCCATCACCATAGTAGCTTTAGATGAGGAAAATGTTGATTATAATTAAGAAACTGCTTCATTCATTGATACCTGAAAGAATAGCGAGAGAAAAAAAAATCAAGAAATCAATATTAATTATCCATGTTAACACAATTAATACAAAGTAATTAACATTTCTTTAGGTTGATTCTGAGGTTTCAACCAGAATCATCCTCTTCCTGGTTCTCAGTTCAACTACTAGATTCTTAAAATTATTCCAGGATAAGAAATTAATTCTCATGGTGATATAACCTAATTATGATAATATATTTGAAACAGAAAAAAAATGTATTATCATGATTAAATCAGATTCTGTTCTGATAATATTATCAATCACAATTTTTGTTTTTCTTTTCACAACCATAACCATGTAATAAGATGATGATAATTCATGGTAAGTGTATTAAGATGTTTCCATGAATACATCAGGATTATTTCAAAGTGATGGGGGAAAAATTAGATATTATCAATTATCTCAGTTGATTGCTGGAATTGATGAAAAAACTTGATAAGTGTTGATTGAAAAACAGGGTATTCAAATATTAAGGGTATTAACCAAATTCTCATATCAATATCAAATCGCAAGTGATTAACTGTTGATAATTACGACTAACATGCCTGAGGGGATGGTGACATTTTCCTTGAAATTAATACATTTACATGAAAGTTTTGTCATTTTCTCAGGTTAAAACTTTTCTTTTTGCCTGAAAATATTCTGGAACCATGTTCACCTTATCATGAATCATTCTGAGAATATGAATATTCATGGTTTTGTCTTATGTATATAAATAAGATTCTGATAATATCTCATATCGGAAACTGAATCTAATCTTGTATTGAAACGGAAATGAAAAGTTGAACCAATTTCCTTTCGTGATGATCTTCAAATTGTTTTCATTTGCAATCCATGTATATGAATCTGCTTTTTGAAATGATTCAGGATCATGATCATTGTTTATTCATGGTAAACAATTAGTTTCGGCTCATTAAGATGAAAGCGAAAAGGGTGGAAAAAAGTTTAACAAAGTTTCTTGATTATCTTGATTATCGATTATCCAAATTTATATTAATATCTTACCGTTAATTGTTTGAACTAATTGCGTCCTTTAGGTTTGATTAAATTACAACACGTTTTCTCACTTTTATACTCGGATGGTGATACATTACAGTTACGAGCGGTTAAAAAGATCAACAATGGAACCGAAGGTCACAATTTCCTCCGGGCGATTGAGCATAAGGATAAAGATACCATGAAATATGTGATAGTCGAGTGCGATGCTGAGATAGCCAAGGAAATGATATCGAAACATGTTCGTGATATTTACATGGGTCGAAGAAATTTCCATTACTTTCTGACCAATCTGATAATGGATCAATTTACTGGAATGAAAATCGATGAATTTGGTGCAATTAATATAACAGGATTTCGAATTCTTAATCGTAGTTCAATTTTTTTCCGAACTTTCATCTCATCATGGAAAACATTAGATCCATTCCATTGGCCTGGTGCTGGACATCGATACATATCGGTAAGTCTAATATTGTCCAATAGAAAATACGAAAAACAAATTCGTAATTCAATATGATAAGATCAATGTTCATCTTATTATAATAATAGATTCGAGTTCCAACCTCCAGCGAGAGAGAAAATTCTTATTCTTATTTTCCATTCTTGATATGAGCTGTCGAGAGGTAGAATTTGTATTAATAATTTACCTGGAGAGAGAGAGAGAGAGAGAGAGAGAGAGAGAGAGAGAAAGATTGAAAAGATCGATATCTTGTTCGAAAATTTTTCACTTTCGTGGTAAAAACGAATTGGAAAGATTATCGAAAATAAACCAAATCATCAACAACAGAAGTAGAAAAATATTTTTCTGATACATTGAAAGATCCATGAAGAACATGATGAAAAAAAAAGAGACTGGAAATGTTCAGTGAACATGAAACATTTACATTCAACTTTTTCCTTATTTCTCATCATCATCAACTGAATTACTCCAAAGAATCGTAATCTTTTTTTACTTTTACCTGAGTATTTCTTTTCCTCATCTTCTTAATACATAATATCTTATTCAAGGTAGTATTTTCTATCTTCTACTCTCATCTTCCTCATCCTGTCCAGAACAGAAGACAGATAATAATAACAAGAGAACCTTTAATCTTACTCTCAGGTTACTTTACCTACACTATTAACCATTCAAATTGATGGCTTCTTACCTGAAATAATGATCATCATGATAATAACAATAACTAACAACTCACAGGGAAACAGGGATAATGTTACTTGATTGAGAGAGAGAGAGAGAGAGAGAGAGAGAGAGAGAAACTAAATAAACTCAGAATTCAAGTTTATCTCAATCTATTTCCAAAGTGTTGTCATGTTTTCTTGATGATATTTTGTTTTATCATCACCAGTACTTAGCATTAGATTAACTGGAAAACCATGTAACTCAAATGAGATGAGATTTAAACTCTTACCTGAGCAACATTTTCATCATCAAGTGGAAACAAAAACAAAATCATACAAGTAAATAAATACACTAATCATTAACCACTTCAATCACCTTTACAATCATTTCCAACTTGACCAATGGTCACTAACAAGTTGATAATAATCTGAAATCTAATTGATAATCTCTCATTTGTATACAACATTAACAATCATCATTGAGTTTCCTTATTGAAAGTTAATCGGTAAAAAACAAGTTAAACCAAATACTATTATCAATATGAGAACCATTGAGATATTATAAGGATAAGTTTATCTGCTTTGGATAAGACAAAGAGTATTATTGATATTTTCACCTTTTTTTTCATGATAAAACTCAGAATGTTACTTTTTTATAAAGATAATATATTTTATCAGATTTACCTTGAAACCATTTTTTACTTCATCACAACCAGAACATCAGCAATATATATTATTAAGACCACGAAGTTCAACTGACATATAAAGTTATTAGATTCTCAGTTTTTTTTTCTGGAAAGAATCAGGGATAACGGGATATTCATTGTATCTCTTTTGTCTGAGTAATTTTCCAGAACAGAATAAATTCTGTCTTTTTTCAGTCAATGTTTCATCAATCAAGAAGAGAGAGAGAGAGAAAAGTTAAATCGAAGAGAAAAAAGAGAGAGACAATATATTAGTATTATTGGAAGAGAAAATCGTTAATCATTAACATCCTCTTCTTCCTGTATCATCATTGTCATCAAAAAGATAAAACTAACAGAAAATGTTTCTCACCTGAGATAATGATCAAGAAAGGTAAAGAAAAAAAATCCACAAAAATGTTAAGAGAAAATCAAGAAAAAAAAGTTCTGATAGTTTCTCATGAAAATATCTATTGAACAAGAATTTAACTTACAGAATCTCTATTAATAATGGTAATATAACTTTCGCCTTTCGCTATCATGAGGTAAAATTTCATCTTTTTGAAATATTTTTCATCAGTTGATTTTGTTTTTTGAATATTTTTCTGGTTACCTGAGTTTCGGTGAAACCATTCAACTATTTCAATCATTTATTAATATCATTTATCATGTCATCATCATCTTGACATAATATCCGTTTGTTAACCGGAGTTTTTTTTTTGCCTCCTGAATAATAAATTGAATTATTCTTATCCGTTGATTGTTTATCGATAATCAATTTCTCAGGCCGATGCTGCTCTCATGTTTGACGGAACCAGAATATTATTGGACACACTCGAGCGAATACTAATTGAACATCCAAACATTTTCGATGGAAACTTAAGAGGTAATGAGGTTTACAATGGAAATAGTCCAAAACCGGGAATCAATTGCGCTGAAACTTATCCAACACTCCACTGGGAACACGGCAAGTTAATCAAACAATACCTGCGACAGGTAAACGATAAAAGAATCAGCGATTAGCTCAATAATTTGATAATCTTTTCTTTGCTCTTTTTTTTCGTACCTTAAAAGACCAACATTGAAGGATTAACGGGTAAAATTATATTTGATGAATTGGGAGTTCGTCGAAACTATTCAATTGATATGATTCAAACAACGATGAACAGTGAGATGACCAAAATCGCCGAATGGTCAGAGCAAGTGGGAATGTCCTCAGTTCCAGCAAATTATCATCGGGTTTACCAGAGTAATGCTAATTATGAGAATAAAACTTATATCGTTACAAGTATTATCGTAAGTAAATAACGACCAAAAATAAAACAGTTCCAATTGATATTGATCATATTGAGAATTTGTAATCTAATATCATAATCGATAATCAAAATTACATTTGTTTACTTTTCTTGACAAATAAAAAAGGAGGAACCTTATCTCATGTATAAGGAAAAAACTGAAGATGGAGTTGAATATGAAGGAAATGATAGATTTGAAGGTTATTGTAAAGATTTAGCTGATTTAATTGCTGAACATTTGAAAATCAATTATGTACTTCAATTGGTTGCTGATCGTCGATATGGTGGAACTGATAAAAACTCCCCTGTAGGTTGGAATGGGATGGTTGGTGAATTAATTAAACAGGTAATAAATCATTTTCTTGCAATCATCAATCAACAATCAATCTGGATACAAATAATATCAATGATTCAGTGTAAAGATTATCTTTGTTTATCTATCAAACAATTCACATGAGAATTGATGAGAGAGAGAGAAAACCTCAACATGATATTGAGAATTGAGAGTTTCCTTTTCTAATTCAACTTGGAATATCTCAGAACTTTTTTCTATTATCATTATTTCATCAAATTCTCTTTCTCTTCCTTGTTTTACATTAGATTTTATCAATAATAATATTCTTACATAGGAATAACTATTCTATTATCTTCATGTTCAATTCCAACACTTATTTGTAAATCTATGGAAAAAGATTTACCTGTTTATTTGTTTACCTATTCTCAAGATCATTTCTATTCAATTTTACCACTCAATGAATCTCAATTTCAATTCTTCATCATGGTGATCAGTAAAAAAAACAGATAAATATCATGATTTTTATATGGATCAACGTTTGTAAAAGAATCGGAAATTTTTACTCTCATATCATCAACCATAATTCTTGTTTGTTCATCGAGAGATTCAATCTCCTTAAATCTCATCAATTGAAATAAACAATTGATTTTTCATGAAATGGGAAGTAAAAGTTCAATAAAAATCAGTCTTATGCAAATAATCACAAATCAATGGAATCAAATGATAGTAGTATCTAAATACGTACTTGAAATATTGATCAAATTGCTTTAGATTGAAAATAAATTAATATTCAGGAATTAATCTGCATTCTTTTTCTTGACAACCAGATTAAAGGATTAATTGATTATCTCCTCTTGTTGTTGAACTTTTCCAGGAAGCTGATATTGCGATTGCACCGTTGACCATTACTTCAGCTCGAGAACGTGTTATTGACTTTACGAAGCCTTTCCTATCCCTTGGAATCAGTATTATGATTAAGAAACCAGCGAAAAAGAATCCAAGTATTTTCTCCTTTATGAATCCACTTAGTCAAGAGATTTGGATGTGTATCATTTTATCGTATTTCGGTGTTTCCGTTGTCATGTTCATTGTCAGTCGATTCTCACCAATGGAATGTCGAGTTGCCCATACCCATGAGGGTCAAACAGTTCTGACCAACGATTTTACTCTCTACAATAGCCTTTGGTTTGCACTTGGAGCCATCATGCAACAGGGAGTAGATGTTTGTCCAAGGTGAGTAGTTGATCAATTCAGTGTTTCCTGTAAATCGGACGAAAATTTCATCTTGAAAGGTCAAATGATCATCCTAAGCAAGAGAAAACTTCATGTTGAATCTTTTTCGTTGTATTGAAATTTTATGTCCAAAAAAACGAACTTTGTGTTTTCGTTTGAACCTCCGTTTCGTGGTTAACTTGAATAGTTATCTTAATTATTAACGGCTCATCAACCAACAGTTTTGTTGTTAATTGTTGTTGATTAGTTTTCTTGAAATATTTTAATCAATAAAGGAACAATTATTAACTATTCAATCGATTGAGATGAACAATCATGAGCATGAGAATTTCTCTTTACATTTGAGGAAATATTTTCTTTCTTTCTCTCTTTTATCAAATGGAAAAGTTCAGTTCAATTCGGAATTCTGATCATATTAATATTTAAGATAATGTTCTGACAATAATCAACATTAAATTGTTGTTTGTATTGTTAACATACACAAAAAAAATTCTATCTCTTGATAAAAAGTTTGCTCATCGAATTCTAGAAGTTCCAAGTTAAATTGTTGATTCTTTACACGTTTTAATGATCTAAACATTTTCCATTTGGTGTAAGAAAAGATAACAAATGATTTATCACTTTAATCGTCGAAATCATCATTCCGATAATTGCAATTGATAAATTAAATTTCAATTTAAACTTAATGTCAACTGGAAAACAATTGAGACTTTTTTTCTCATCGATTCCCTTGATAGTTTTCTGTTCAAAAGAAAATGAATTAAAATTGTCATTAAGATTTGTAGTTATTGTTTAATTATGATAATCGATTATCAGTTGATTAAAGCAGCGAATCAGCTGTTTAAATGAATCATCATCCGACCAGTTTAATCAAATTTTCCATGACAGAGTCAATTGTCAACAATTTACTAATAATGTGACAACAATCAGTCTGATTGTTAACGAAATTGATTAGTAATGAAATTAATGATAATCATGTTAATATAATGATGATAATTTTTTCCATGTTCAGGAGAGATGATGAGAAGAATGATGATAAAAAAGATGATGATTAAATTTCATGATAATCTCTCTAAGGGATGAGTTTGAAAAGAGAGAGAGAAAAAGTTCTGAGCAAAATGTTGATTCAAATTATATCTTTTTATCATCATGTTTACATCATCATTCCCAATGAGTCTCACTAGACTTTTGATAAATATCAAGATGATTATCATGTTCACTGATATAAAAGATGATTTTATCATCTTCATATTATTAATAGATCAGAATTTAGGATTGAATTCAATTCAATGTCAATATTGGAATCAGTAATGAGAATGTTATTCTGATCTTAATTACATCAATTAGCAAACATGATGAATCATATTTGACATCAACGATTGAATCTATTTCTAAATTCTGATCTCTTTCATGTAATAATCATATTCAGATTGATTGACATTATTGAATATTGTAAGATTGTTACAATCAACTGAAGATGTTTACATTGAATTCTGAGAGTTAATTTGATAAAAGGTTAATAAATGTCATCTCAAATGGTTAGACAGATTAATAGTTAAGGTAATAGTCATAATAAATATGAGTATGATGTTAATGATAGTCGATATGTAGTTAAGATTATTGTACATGTTGAATGTTTCAATAATCATAAACACTTAGTGAATATATAAATAGTTTTATTACCTTATCGTCATCATGTTGATTAAATGTTATGGTTTGATTATCCAAAATTTGGTAATATTCATTGTCATTTATCACAATTTATATATTACCGAGTTCACTTGCCATTGATTGTTGATCTTTCTCTGTCTTTGTCATTTCTTTTGATTGTTTCTGTTTTTGAGTGGGGGGAAAATTACGATGATGATGATGATGAGAATGGATTTGATTTGATTTCTAGCTTTACTTTTATGATCCTCTTTGATTTCTGTGCCAATGTAATTTAACTTCAGAATTGTTATTATGATGGGAATGAATTTACATCCAGAAAATTGATTTGGAATAGGCTAATGCTGGATAAATCTAAGTCAACTTATACATAATCATTTATATTATTTATTATTGATGAGATGTTAGTCTTGTATGAAAGTTGATGATGATGAATCAATTGAGGTTATCTGGAGTGAAACCGATTACATGAATTTTCTCCTTCTCCTTTGACATGGTATGATGATGATGATCTCTTTCATTTCTGATTACCCTCCGCCCAGTTAATTATTGGTAATCTTTGGATGTCACCAATACAAGAATATGCTCCAATCAAGTTAACCATTCAATCATCTGGCATCTTTATCAATCTGTTAACCTTTTTTCATTCCATTTTCAATTACTGATCATAATATCAATCAAATGATGATGCAGTCAACTTGTATAGTGATTGTTTGATAACATTTTCTGATCATCCTTATCGATTGAACAAATTGGAACAATGTATCAAAATCTTCTTTGCTTTCAGTTAAGTGTCCACTTGATGAGAGGGTGAGAAAATAGAAAAACAAATTGTCACCGGTAATTACAATTCTTAATTAGCAGGTTAACTTTCTTATTCTTGATAATTTCCTTCTCATTTCACTGAGCAATTAATCCATTCTCATTTGTAATAAACGACATAATTATAAGATGATAAACATTTGATCTCCTTTGTCTCATTTGATTGATGAATTATCCTTTGAGTTTAACATTTCCATTGTTTTTTTTCCTATTCTTCAACATTCTCCTTCTCGTTAATTGTGGATTGTTTTGCCTTCTCCAACCGAGTAATATTCCATAATAAACATTCATCTGTTCCATCAGATTATCGTTGAATTTACCAAGAACAAGACTTATCTGTGATAGAGAAAAAAAAATTAGAATAAGATTACATCTTAAATTGAGTAATAAGATAGAATAGAAAAAAAAGTCTAAGCAGAAAAAGAGAAAAAAAGAAGAAAAAAAACTAGAATCATTAACGTAATAGAATAAAATTCGTCACCATTATTAGCAACATCGTTTACCTAATCAAAGTGAACACTATTAGAGATGACAATCAATTTGAGGTCACAATTAATTTGATTAAAATTCCACTAAAGTCTAATATTAATCAACATCATAATCTCAAAATGTAAAATTTAAAAAGTCAAAGTGTCAACCATATTGGTTAATCCAAACCCTATAAATGTGTTAATGTAGAAACAATAGATTCCAATTAAAATTACAACTTACCTTACAACAAATATCTCACATCTTACCAGGTGAACAATTAACAAAATTACTTAATTAACACAAGAAATTAACGATATAATCAAGATGAAACAATTAAGAGAAATTAATTTTCATTAGAATAGAAAAAGAATGAAGTTACTAGCGACACCTGGTGGAGAAGAATTTCAACCAATGAAAGAGAAAAAAAAATTTAATTTAGAAAATGAAAACAAAGAAATTTTAATGTTGATCTTTTTTAATTATTAGTTAACTAATTGATAGATTTGTGGATAATTTTTTTTCTACAATTTGTTATGGATGAAAATCCAATGGATACATTGATTGTGAGAAGAATTAACAATATTCTTTGATTTGTTTTACGTTTCATTTCAGATCTTATGCTGGTCGGATCGTTGGAAGTGTTTGGTGGTTTTTCACTTTAATTATCATTTCCTCTTATACCGCTAATTTAGCTGCTTTTTTAACGGTTGAACGTATGGTTACACCAATTAACAGTGCTGATGATCTTGCCAAACAAACGGAGGTCGAATATGGTGTCCTTAAAGATTCATCGACGATGGAATTTTTCAAGGTAAAGTTGATTGACAAAATTGATTTGATTTTCTCTTTGTGGTGATTGATTTGTTTTTTTCTTTTTCTTTGTCTTTGTCTCCTTATTTTATTTTTCTATAGAAATCAAAGATTCAGGTTTATTCTCGTATGTGGGAATTTATGAATTCTCATCCTCATGTTTTCGTTGATTCATATCAACAAGGTATTCGCCGTGTACGTGAATCAAAGGGTAAATATGCTTTCCTCATGGAATCAACTTCAAATGATTATATTAATCAGCGACAACCTTGTGACACAATGAAAGTTGGACGTAATTTGGATGCTAAAGGTTTCGGTGTGGCTACACCATTAGGATCACCATTAAGGGTATCACTTAATTTAGCTGTTCTCCATCTAACCGAGAAAGGTGATTTAACTAGATTGGAAAATAAATGGTGGTATGATAGATCTGAATGTAAATCAAGTGATTCCAAGGAATCAAGTAAAAGTTCATTAACACTTTATAATGTTGCCGGTTGTTTCTACATTCTAATTGCTGGTTTAATTATCTCAATGTTTGTTGCATTCTGTGAATATCTTTGGAGATCTCGTAAAGAATCAGAAAGATTTAAAGTTAGAGAAACTTTAATTAACAACAAGTTACATTAACTACTACATTGACTTTCATCAGTTGATTAACGATTATCTTGTAAATCGTTCCGTTAATCATTATCATCTTATGACAAGATATATTCAACTGACGACTCAAATTAGTTGATTATCTTAAATCATGTTAATCAAGTGCCAAATCATCAGCATAATGATCAACCAATCAATTGATAAACTGTTAATTGTTCTTTCAACGCCAAAAAAAACAACAATCAACTTTCATTAATTGTTCTCAACGTTTCTCGCAATGTTGATAATCCATCGTAAATTTACAATCATTATCAACTGATTATCTAAATTTGTAAAAGAAAAAAAAATTCCCTATTCAATCATCATGCACCTAATTCTGCTCAAAATAATCATCACAATTCAACTTTAAATTATCCACTGATTGTTGACTAATTAAAGCGAGTCAAGAAAAGTACTAATTCTAATATCAAATTTATCCATCTCATCATCACCATTCAATTTAAAACCCAAGACAATTAGGATGGACAATTTTCCCAATCAAAATTCGGAGACAATACGAATTTCTTAAAGCACAAAATTTTTACTTTCATTTAAATTTACGATCAATTGTAATTCCGATAATAAAAACTGAACAATAAACAATCTAGTTACAAATATTTTCGAGAAAAACCTGACCAATTAGATATTTAATCTCGATAACAAGTCCCAGGGAATTTCACTCCAAGTTTTTGGTGAATAACTCGAATTCTGGGATATTAGTTGATATTCAATTTTCTTATTTCAAGGTCAAGGACAAATAGATCGTAACACTTATACATATGAAGATCCAATTTGAAAAGATTTTAGATGATTTCTCATCCGAAGTTATAAAAATTGTCTTTTTAAAACGCAACGAATGTCGAATATCCTTTTATCTTATTTGAATGCATGACATTATTAAATTTGGAAGATTATCACCTTTGATTGACCTTGAAAATTAATGGAATCCTTGCTGGACATTTGTCCTTAAATGAACTTGACCCCAAAATGTGAACATGAATACGAGGGGAGAATAGTTCTTATAGGAATAAGGTAAGAATCGAATAGGAACAGAAATTTTGAGCATCATAATTGCATTCAAAACGATTTTCTGTACCATCCAATTCCAAATTTCTCTCTCATGATTGCTGTTAAAGCGATTAAAATGAACGACCTTTTGTGATTTGACAAAAAAATTTCATTTACGAATTTTGTTTGAATTTGGCGCTTCACTTTTCGAATAGAATTTGTTTCTGGTTAGAGCGCCAACATCAAATTCTTTCTTTTTTATTTTCTTTTTTTTTCTTGTGTTCAATTTTCTCTGATCGTTAGTTAATTGTTTCTCTTTAAATTTATTTTCTTTTTACTATAATTTGATTATCATGTCTTCTTGTATTCAAAGACTTCCAGAGGATGTGATTCGTAAAATCAAAGCCGGTGAAGTGATTGTCCGACCTTTCAATGCAGTTAAAGAGCTAATTGAGAATAGGTAAGTTATGTTTTTAAACTTCTCTTCATATTTTAACTCTTTTTTTTTGTCAAAATTCTAATTTCATTGACATATTTATATAGTTTGGATGCTAAATCAACTCATATCATTGTGAAAATTAAAGGAGGAGGAAGAGACACCATCCAAGTTCAAGATAATGGAATCGGTATATCGGTTAGTTGATGATGGAAGTAAGAAAATGTTACACTTGAACTGTGATTGTTTTCGCTTTATTTTCTATATTTATATTCTATCATTAATTGTATCGAAATTTTGTTAATTTACCCTTTTAGAAAGATGATCTGATGATAGCTTTCCAGAAACACACAACATCCAAATTGTCAACATTTGATGACATCACCAAATTGACAACCTATGGATTCCGAGGTGAAGCTTTATCATCTATGGCCGATGCATCCCAATTGACAATAATCTCAAGAGTAAAGAGTAGTGTCTGTGGTTACAAAGTTTGTATAGTTGAAGGAAATGTGGAAACAAATGAACCAATTGCAATGGCAGCCAATCCAGGAACCACTGTAACCATTAATCAGCTATTCTTTAATATGCCATTAAGGCGAAAGTCTCTTAAACCTCCAAATGAAGAGTACAACGCAATAGTTGATCTAATTTCTAAATATGCTGTTCATTGTTCAAATTTTGTTTCCTTTGTCCTTGAAAAAGAAGAATCCAGAGTTTGTGATGTACAAACAATGATCGATTCTCAAACAATTGACAATATTCGCCTTCTATATGGTAAAGATATCGCCGCCAATGTTACCCCAATCATGGCCACTTCGTCTCGAGATATTTTCACTTGTACCGGTTTCATAAGTCAAATTAACCATTCGCTGAAAAAGATGATCTTTATCCTGTTCATTAACGATCGTTTGGTTGATTGTGCTCCTCTTAAAAAGTCAATTGAAGTAATTTACTCAAATTTTCTAATCAAAGGATCTCACCCGTTTGTTTATCTCAGTTTAAAATTGAGTCCATCAAATTTGGACGTAAATGTACATCCAAGTAAAATGAGGTTCGATTCTTGTATGAAGAGCATATTCTGGGCGAAATCAAAGATTCCATTGAGAGTAAACTTTCCACCTCGACAACAACCCGAGTAATTAATACAACATTTTCTCAACCCAAATTAACCATAACTCAACAATCAACCAGCTCATCATCAAATAAGCTAAATACAACTATTGGTAGTTTAACATCAAGCCAATCGACGCCCAAAGTTTATCCATCTCAAAAGGTTCGAACCGATACCAGAAATCAAACTCTCCATGAAATTTGGCAACGGAATCAATTATGTTTACCATCGGGAGAAAATATGATCAGTCGAGAAATTAAACTTGACAGTGTTAAAGAACTTAGGAAAGAAGTTATCAATCAATGTGACACTGAACTTAATCGATTGCTAAGAGAATCATGTTTCGTTGGTGTAATTTCGGGAAATATTATCGCAATTCAACACGAGACAAAATTATTTGTCACCGATATCGAGAAATTATCTTTTCATCTTTTCTATCAAATTTATCTTCAAGATTTTGGTAACTTTGGTGTATTGGAATTAACTGAACCTGAAGATATTGGTAAATTATACGAAATGTATGAACCAAGTCGAACCAACGAATCAACAAGTTCTGATTATGTTCTGGCCAAATTGACCCGACGGCACGTACGAAATATGATCGATGATTATTTCAGTATCGAAATTAAACCTGAAGGGTTAATCAATACATTACCTGTCTTACTTAATGGTTATCATCCTAATCCATTGAATTTACCAAGATTTATCAATGATTTGGTTCATCATGTTGATTGGAAATCTGAGCAACTTTGTTTCCAAACTTTTGGTTCTGCATTAGCTAAACTCTATCAAGCCTCTTACCTTGATCATGAAAATCATGAAGATTGGGTTAAAACAGTTAAATCAATTCTTTATCCTAAAATCAAATCATATCTTAAACCATCATCAGAATTTGCTGATTTATTCACACTAATCACATCTACAAATGAACTGTACAAAGTTTTCGAACGTTGTTAAATCGAATCGAATATTAATCAATCAATTGAACAAGGAGATCTCATCGAATCTCTTGTTGAATTAATCATTACTGTCGATACCCGCTAAATACCATTGATTTAATCTTGATCATCTTTAAAACTAAATCTATTTGTTAATCATAATAATTGTCCAGTAGATGTTGATGAAAGAGAGACATTAATATAAAAAAGATGGAGACTCTAAGGAAGCCAAAGATAAAAATGATGAATGAACCTTCAGATGATTTTGATGACGATTCCATTATTAATTCCTTAGGACATATCAACGATGTTAACTGGTGATGATTAAGAAACAAGGAGATTGAAGAAGATCAAGAAACTTTTTTTTTTCGTTAAGTTTTTTTTCAGAGATGATCTTCTCTCTCTCTCTCTCTCTCTCTCTCTCTCTCTCAATAGAGGCGATGTGATGATGAGGATGAGAAGCCCAAGTAATCAAGGAGAAAAAAAGAAAGAAACTCAGATAGTAAAAGATGAGAAAAGGTAAAAAAGCCTTAAGGTGGATTGATTATAATGATAGTCTTTCCTTGGGTTGGGGCGAAAGTCAAGGAAACAACAATTATGATGATTTGGTCTTTTGCCGATGATTGCTTAGAATACAAATTGATTATGTTGGTTAATTCATTTTCTTTCTTCGCCTGTTATTAATAATCATCATAAAGGAGAAAATGTTTAACAAGCAGAAAAGGAAAAACAAAAAGGAGAACCAAGAAAATTGTTACCGATTAAAAACCATCGTAAAGGACAATTAATAATCTACAAACAGGACAAGCAAATAACAAGAGATTGGGACGCAAACTGACTTGCAAATTTCCAGTTAATTAATTACATCAACTTCTTCCCCATCTACAGGTATATTCTCACTTTTATCATCTCTCTCTCTCTCTCTCGTACTAATTGTTACCTGGTTACCTTTACAATCCTCTTATTCATTCACCTTATCCAAGTGTCTCCCATTCATAATTATCTATACTCATTCATTCATTAACACAATTATTGTTTTTGTCTTTCATCAGAGAATCAAAAACAAACAATTTCAATCAAAATAATTACGATTCTACCATTGATATCATTACAATTAACATTTTCCGTTACGCTTCAAATTGAAACTTTTGTTATTCTCTCATTTTAATGATGATCGTTAATTATTTTGATTTGTTTAATTTATTTGATTAACTGAAAGTTTTTTTCTTCAATTGTTGATTCTGCAACTTTCCAAAAATAATTTTCCACCTTAATTGTCAATAATTACCATTTGTTTAGATTGATTATTAACCTCGAGAGATTTTCACGTTTCCTATATTTGTTGCGTCTTCTTTTTTTCTAAAACAAAAAGAAGTGTTAACTTAAACAATTGGTTAATCTTGTCAAATTGTTTACCCTGATTATCATGATGATGATTATAAACCTCCGTGAACCTCCTATTTTCATATGAATTATTACACTCTAAAGATATGGTGTGTGAATGAGAGAGAAACTCAAGCCCATCAATCAACTAATGTTAACCCTTAACATGATTTTTATTATCATTTTTTGGTTTTCTATTCTCTCTCAATGGTTAACACCTTTTGTCTCTCTCTCTCTCTCTCTCTCTCATCGTGAATCATTTTCCCTCATTTTCTTTTCTCTTTTCATTCTGTTCTCTTGTGTATAATTTTTGTTCTGCAAACACATTTTCATTTTCCTCCATTTTGTAAGTAAATCAACTTTCTCATCAACAAGTTAACCAATATACTAATTAACTCTCTCTCTCTCTCTCTCTCTCTTGATTTTCTTATCTCCATCTTAATTTAGCTTGGACAAGGAGGAGAAGCTGCTG